GTTTGTTAGTTTTGATGAGTTTGATCTTGATGCTACGGTATGAAGTTGTTGAATCTTATTCTGATTTTGTTTCGTTTGGAATCAATGGTGGTTATAGCTGCTGATATTTAGGGCGGTAAATTAGAATGGCGAGCGAGTTTGGAGAATCAACAAGCGTGCCAAATCAAAACCCCTCTTCGTCCAGTAACAATGATATTGGCGATTTCGAATGCAATATTTGTTTCGAGTTAGCTCAAGATCCAATTATCACTCTCTGTGGCCATCTCTTTTGCTGGCCTTGTTTGTATAGATGGCTGCATTATCACTCACAATGTCAAGAATGTCCTGTTTGTAAGGCTCTTATTGAGCAGGAGAAATTGATTCCTCTTTATGGGAGGGGAAAGGTACCATCTGACCCGAGATTGAAGAGATATTCTGGTATGGATGTTCCGAGTCGCCCTGCTGGTCAAAGGCCTCAAACAGCACCTCCCCCTGTTGCTAATGACTTTGCAAACTATGGATTTGGATTCACTGGTGGCTTTATGCCAATGTCAACAGCAAGGATTGGCAACTTCACCTTGGCGACTGCTTTTGGTGGTCTGATCCCATCTTTATTCAATATCCAGTTTCATGGATTTCCTGATGCTACAGTTTATGGGACTACTTCTGGTTACCCCCCCTATGCATTCAACACATTCCATGGGGGTCATGGCCACCATTTTCAGCAACCGACGAGTCAAGGTCAGCATGCTGATAATGTACTGAAAAACCTCCTTTTACTCGTTGGTGTCTTTGTGATTCTTGCCTTGCTTTGGTGGTAGAACGATCTTTCATTTGGTTGAAATAGCACAATTGTAGAGATTTCATTTAGTGTTTATGAAGTAGATTTGCAAATATACATATGTGCATGCTTGATCTTACTTTCTGTGAGGTTCCCGTTTGTTTTTGTTATTGATATCCCAAATGACTTCTGGATGTTTCTTCCTTTCCCACGAACCAGCCCATATTCATCCCTTGCCACAGGAAATTTCCTTACCTCAACAGTAATAAAGTTCAGCTGTAATTTATTGATCCAGAGATTACTGATCTTCCCCGTCAAATTTTCTATCTTCATATGATTGTGTAATGCATCTCAACGTCAAAGTTACTTCTTTGTTTATTTCTTTTTGGGTTTGGGAAATTTTGCTCACAAAAACTATTGAAACTTCTTTACTTCAAGTTCTTTTGGCTACCTGGTAACATGAATAGGCTTGGGCGTTCCTTTAACTGGATTCTGGTTGGAAGGATGTGCTTATTGATGGTTTGTTGCCCAGTTCGTGTAACAGTCGAAGCCTACTGCTAGCAAATATTGTTATCTTTGGGCTTTTCCTTCTAAGCTTCCCCTTGAGGTTTTAAAATGTGTGTACTAGGGAGAAGTTTCCACACCCTTGTAAGGAATGCTTTGTTTCCTTCCTCAACCGACCTCACAAATTGTCTCTCTTTCATTATCAACCAACAGGGGATCTCTCAAATGGTCTCTCTTTCATTAGGGTTCGTTTAATCTTTTTTGTTGTTAGATTTGAGCTAAAGCTTGGCTACTGTGTCTAGAATTTACCCATTTGAAACTGATGTTCAAATCTGACATCAGAATTGGAAATGAATGAAATCATAGAACATAGTTACTTCCGGTGTTCGTTCAGCCCATCATAGAACATAGTTTCTTCTGGGCTCTGCTCACATATTCGACTGAGAAACTGTTCACTGGGCGCTGGGCTTTGTTTTATACTCTTTTGAAGCACTTGGACTAAAGTACTCCACTAGTATGTGTTCTTTCACAAAACACTTCTATGTTACTCTTAGGCATAATGATTTTGACGGAGAAGTGCTTTTGAGTATTAGGGTGGAGTTGAGAAATTACTCGTTCTTGCCGTCCTCTCCGCTTGCCACGTGTTAAGAAAATTATACAAAAAAAAAGAAAAAAGAAAAGCGTTTTCTTTACTTCTCTTACCGCTCAAATTTTCAAAATCAAAAGGTTTTATCTACGATAAAGTTAAATTTGTAAAAACTTCTCCCTCCCTAGGAGGTTGGCTCTACTCTAAATGTTATTTGATAACGATTGTGCAACACTTGTTGTAACTCGGCGAAATTTGGACTTTGCGGACAATGTTGGCATATGCCTGAGCCAAATAAATAATGACGACAGTTTTGTTAGCATATAACACAGAGTAGTAAGATTTGACAATTAGTCACATTCCCCACTAGGGCATTTTAGCCTCAACATGTGTAGACATGATTTTGGTGGCCGATCACGATAATAAATGTTAAGGCGCTCAAACATGTGTAGACATGATTTTGGTGGCCGATCATGCACTCTTGTATTGACACGATAATAATAGTTAAGGTCGGGATAAATATGATGAAGACAATGTGCATAGAAGCGAATTAAAAAAATAAAAAAAACTTTTTAATTTTTTTTTTTTTTTGTAATCTTTCTTACGCATAATTATTGACACCAGCTTTCAACATCGAGTAATTAATAAGGAAAACAAATAAATTATTAGGAATTAAAATATATTAAAGTAATTTGAAAGAACTTAGAAATTGGTAAAGAATGATTGAAGGATCCAGATGGTTTGAGTTGAAAAATGCACACATTCGATAATAATACATTACCAAAAATAGCCTCCTAAAGTGATGTTTGTTGGTAATAAATTTAAATTAGTGAACCCTACCCTTTTTGCCATATTATTTTTTTTAAAATAAAAAATCCCTTTCCATTTATTACTACAATTATTTTATACGCAACCTATTACCTCTTTATTTCAAAACTTAATTATCCAATCAATTTAATTAAAACGAAATCTGGTTAAGAAAATGGCTAAAATAACATATCAACAATAATTAAAATGAATGTGGGACCCACGAGGAAAGCCACGTGTCAACACACCGATAAAGCGTTATTAGTAGTGAAACAGAGAAGATGGGCCCCCCAAAAAATATGACGTGGCCGTTTTTTTGTCAAACACAAATGAAAAGACCATTCGAAATTACCCATCTTTCCGCTACCCTAAATATTCGGAACCAATACAAAATTCCCCAAACTCTAAAATGTTTTATTTATTAAATTAATTGTGTTAACCTATTTTTTAAAGTATTAAATATAGAAATTTTTACGAAATAAGACTCGATGCTCGTAACTTAAACTCGAGTTGATTTCAAGTATGCGACATCAACCCATTTATAACAAATATTCTTTTAGCTATGAATAGAGGTGGTGAATTATATGGCCAAGTTGACACGTTTAAACTGAAGTGCAGTGGTAACATGATCTAATTGACCTGTTTAACAGAGGTGACATGGGTCACATGATTGAGCTAACTTATTGAAATTGAAGTAGCAAGTCACATGATTGAATCGAGCTATACTAGTCGGCCTAACCTATAAGAAAGATATTCAAGTCATTGTGGTAAACACGGTTCAAAGTTGTGTACGAGGAACCAGAATTATTATGATTTTTATGGGTTTATTTGGATGATTTTGTTGTATAATTAAAGGAAATGAAAATGTATAATTAATTTAATGAAAAGGAGGAACATGGCTATGTCCATGTCTCTTTTTCCCTCTTCGCTTTCTTAATCATAATTTTATAGAAAATAAATTTCCATTTTTCTCTGTTCTTCTCCGGCGACATGCCTCGCCCTCCACCGCCGTCTACATATCACCGGTGTACCTACCTCCTCCTCCTCTTTGCTCTCTCTTCCGCCGCCGTCGCCGCCTTGAAGTTCAAAGAAGCGCCGGAATTCTACAACTCCCCCACTTGCACCTCCATTGATCCTCACTCTGATGACGACCTCTGCTCCGATCAGGCCGTCCATGTGGCGATGACCCTCGACGCCGCCTATCTCCGGGGCTCAATGGCGGCGATTCTCTCTGTTCTTCAACATTCCTCTTGCCCACAGAACATCTTCTTCCATTTCGTCTCCTCTGCTTCCACCGACACCGCCGCTCTCCGATTGACTATCGCTACTTCTTTCCCTTACCTCAAATTCCATGTCTACCCATTTGATGTCTCCACCGTCGCCGGATTAATATCCACTTCAATCCGCTCCGCCCTCGATTCTCCACTCAATTACGCTCGCAACTACTTGGCTTTGCTGATTCCCGACTGTGTTCAACGCGTTGTTTATTTGGACTCCGATTTGATCCTCGTCGATGATATTGCCAAACTCGCCGCTACCCCACTTGGGGAAACCGCCGTCCTCGCCGCACCGGAGTACTGCAACGCCAATTTCACCTCCTATTTCACCCCCACTTTCTGGTCCAACCCCTCTCTGTCGCTCACCTTCGCCGGAAGAAACGCCTGTTACTTCAACACTGGGGTTATGGTCATTGATCTCCAACGCTGGCGCGACGGCGATTACACCGCCAAGATCATTGAATGGATGGAGCTCCAGAAACGAATTCGGATCTACGAACTCGGCTCTCTCCCACCGTTCCTCCTCGTTTTTGCCGGCTTCATTGCACCAGTCGACCACCGATGGAACCAACATGGCCTCGGCGGCGACAATTTCCGCGGACTCTGCAGGAATCTGCACCCTGGTCCGGTGAGTCTCTTGCATTGGAGTGGAAAAGGGAAACCATGGGTTCGTCTCGATTCGAACCGGCCTTGTCCACTTGATGTTCTTTGGGCTCCTTATGATCTATTACGCACACCCTTTGCTCTTGAATCCTAGTTTTCCAGAAATATATGCCAGAAAACAGGGGAATTACATTTCTTCATTGTTCATAAGTTATTTCTACAAATTTTTGGTTTAATCTGTAAAATGTAAGAAGAACATAGATTAGAGGAGATTTAAGGATATACATATCCCTCAATCATGTCCATAAACAGAGATTATTTTCCATATGAAGTACGTTAAATACAGAGAAAGCCTAAGAACAGAGCTTTCATTATTGTAACAGCTAAAATGAAATGGGATTTGGCTGTAAAGTTGTTCTAATGATTTAATACTCATAATAAGCGAAGTACGTTAAATTCATGAGATTATGTAATGATATTTACAGTTCGAATCTCTCAACGAGCTCTAATGACGCCATGGCTACCGGCGATTTCATCCGCCTCCAAAAGAGAAACCCATGTTTTTTCTGCCTTTTCAATGGGAGATTCAGCAAGAACACAGAGATTGAAGACGATTTCCGCCATTGTTGGCCTGGACAAAGGTTCTTCTTGTGTACAAGCCCTCGCCATTAGAGCCAAGCTCAAAGCTCCTTCAATTGGGTAAAAGCTCTGTAATTTTGGGTCCATCCAATCTCTTAACTTCTCTTCTCTGCTCTGTTCTTGTTCTAAAACCTCCCTTATCTCTTCACATAACTTCACTTCTTTTTTCCCAGAAAGCAGCTCCAAAATCACAACCCCAAAAGCGAAAATATCAACTTTTGTGGACAGAGGACCAGTGGCAGGCCTGGCCTTGGCTAGATTTGAAATCTTTGCTCTGAATCTCGAGTCAAGAAGGATGCAACCCGTTTTGATATCCCTATGAACTATGCTTGGCTGAGTGTGATCGTGCATATACTGCAACCCATTAGCCACATCCAAAGCTATGTTCAGCCGTTGGCTCCATGTGAGATGGAAGCTCACAGAGCCTGAAGAAACTGGAGATGGCGAATGAAGCCATTTATCCAACGACCCATTTTCAGCAAATTCATAAACTAAGTAAAAATTCTCCTCATAATCTGAAGAGAATCCCACCAGTTTCACTAAACTTATATGATTAACTTTCTGCAGAATCATTAGCTCTTCCTTTGAATCCTGTTTCGCTTCCTTTACCACTGAGATTTCTCCATTGATTTCGGCTCTGTATAATGATTTCCCAATCTTAAACCCCTCGTTGAAGTTCATCGTCGCCTCTGCTATCACTTCAAATTCGTAAAAAATCGGCCTTCCCAAGTAGTCGGAAACCACCGGAGGAAGAACCTGCAGCTGCCTGCTCTGTTTTGTCATCTTCTTTTTTGTGAGCTTAGAGATTCCAAAAATGGAAATTTCCCACATGGGTAATGTTTTTTTCTTGTGGATTAACCAAATATAAACACCCAACAATGATCCCAACAGGAAACTAATCCCCAAAGCCACAATTATAATCACAAGGTGTTTGATATGTTTCCTCTGAGGCCAAGACAGAGAAAACAGAGGAAGTTTCGAAACAGGGACATAAATGGGCTTTCCAACGGTGAAATCCGTCACGTTTATTGCTTCTTCTGAGACATTAAAAATGGCACTAACACGAGAAACCTGATCGTTGGGTTGCCATACATAAGTAATAAGATATTGAATCCCCTGTTTCAAGTTTTTCTCAGAAGGGCACTTACAAAACAGAGGAAAAACCACCTCTGCCCCCACCTGCAATTTCGTTGGATTTAGATTTGGGTTCATTTTCTGCACCATGTTCCAAGCGCAGAGATTCTCAAACGTGGTGGTCGAGACGTGGAAAAAGGTGTCATCTTTCTTGATTTTGTAGGTAACATTGTGGAAGAAGCCATTTTCAGAGCAGTGACAGTCCACAGGCACCAGTAGAATCTGCCCATCAAACAATGGAGCTGTCTCAGATCCCAAGTTACTTGCTTTGGCAATCTTCGAAGCACTGACTCCAAACAAGCTCGATATGCTCATAAGATCCAAAAATTGTGATGATTTTGCGAAGTACGAGACGTAAGTGCTACAAGAACGTGGAGAATCGACAGGACATGGAAAGGCTGCGCTGTCGGCGCCGCCATGAATGGCGAAAAAGCAAGCAAGAATTAGCATGAACTCTGCTAGAAGCATTGCTTGAAGCTCTGAGAATCTGAAAGAAGTATTGAATGAGTGATAGAACTGAGTTTGGATTTGGAGTTAATGATCAATATTTTTATGGGCAGGTATGATCGTTGCATCACAATGTTTGAATAATTCAACCAAAAAGGTATTGAAAGCAACGATTTTGTGTAGTAGTTTAATGGGAAGTTGTGTTTAAGACGGCTGGATGGGTTTGATAGCTTGTTTTGATTAAATTAAGGTAGCGAAGTTTAATGAAAGGGTGATGTAAGAGCTAAAGCGATGGGAGGGAGTGGGATTAAGTTTAAAGATAAATGTATGATTAGAAAGTGGAATTAAGTACTAATTTGTGTGTTTATGCCTATTAAATAAATTCGTAAAATTCTATTCATGTTGCCATTACCGGTAAAAGATTCAGTAGAGAGGTATGCATACAATTCAAATGTCGAACAAACGTGTTTTTGCAATGGAGGCGTAATAGCTCAAGTCCACCGCTAGTAGATATTATCCACGATTTTAGAATTGTGAGGTTGACCACGATACGTAACGGGCCAAAACAGACAATAATGTGTTACAAATGGTATAAAAGTTAGTCACCTACCAGGAGACAGCGTTTTAAAAACCTTAAGCGAAGGGAAAAGTCCAAAGAGGACAATATATAAAAGTGGTGGACTTAGCTGTTACAAGAGTTCACGGTTTGAAATGAAAATTTTTCGCTCAAATTTAATAAGTTTATTGGAAACATAAATTCACAGTCCATCGCTTGTAGGAAAAGCATAACCCGCTGCCATCAGAGACTAAACTTTCATCATAAAAAACACTTACCATCGAAGTAAAACGGAAGCTTGTTGGAGATTGTTGTCCTTATCGTCGTTAAAAAACAAAAGCTTGTCGTTCTTCGTTATCTTTGCTTTGTTCAAGCATGGAAGCCTATCGTGCCCGTTGGAGACTCGTGAAAGTACAAAAAAATATTACTATATACTTTTTATTTTCTTTATCTAATTTTTTAAATTTACATTAATTACAAATTAATATAGAAAAATATACCTCGATCAACTTGAGACGTCATTCTTAATAAAAATAATGAAATTAAATCATATAAAATATAATATAAAATTTATACCTTTTTGTTATGAAGTCATCAGAAATTGGAATATTCTTGGAATGTAAATGAAATTCATCATCCAACTAAAATATTTAAATAAATAAATAAATATAGAAGTTAATATAACATTAGAAGAAAGCTTTAATTAATTAATTCTAATTTTCCAAGTCAACATAAGATATAACACATCACTCAATTATTGACATCAATTTTAAATGAAAAAATATATAAAAAATTTCATTTTAAAATTACTTTAGATATTTATGTCATAATTTTTCTTAAAATTAGCAAATAATTATTTAATGCTAAATAAAGTATTTTCTTATTCAATTGGTTAAATATTCTGACTTTTTTTTTAATAATAAAAAAAAAAAAGAGGGAGAAAAAAGCAAAATGATTTTCTTAATATCATTAATTTGAAGATTAAATTAAATAATATTTAATTTAGGTTAAAAGATGAGGGTTGATGTGGCAATGTGAACATAGATTTAGACAATTTTGAAGGAACCTTCCTCTCACTTTCCTTCCCATTCATTTGTCTGCCCCAACCCTAACACTACTTTATACCTCATTGTTATATTATTTTTTAAAAATAAATTATGGAATAAATTATATTTTTGTCAAAGCTATAGGTATTATTACAAAAGTTTTAATTTAGTTTATTAATAGTTTTCGAAATATGAAAATGGTTTCGGGTCTTTATTAGAGTTTAAGTTAAGATTTAGGATTTTTCGAGACGGACAACAATGACAGATGGTGTCGACAACGTTAGATCGATATTTTAAAGATCTATAACTTAATTTTGAAGTAAAATAAACTACTTAATTATTAATTTAAATATTTTGTTTTATTATTTAAAAAATATTTGTTGAGATCGATATTTATTAATATATGAATAATATAGGGTAAAAAAGAAAAGTATTTTTTTTTTTATTATAAGTAATAAATAAAAGTAAAAAGAAAAATTAGGAAAAAGAAAAGAAAAAAGAAAAAGGAGGGAGGCAAGGAGAAGACCAAGGCAACGCGGTTTGTTGCTCCCTCACTTTTGACTTTTTGGTTCTGTATTAATTTTTTTTTTCATTTTTCAGAAAACAATTATGTCGGTGGATTCCAATTTCCCTTTTCTTTTTATTGTTTTTTTCCTTAATTCCTAAGAAATTTCAGGGTTATATTTGTCATTTAACTTTGAGTTTTTGAAAATAAGTTATTTAGTTTTTGAAATTAAATTAAAAAAAAAACCAAAAAGATCGAATGTTTTAAGGTCACAAACTGGAAAATAGTTTGGGTTTTGGGTTTTTGTTTAAAAATTTAAAATTCAAAACCTATTATTCAAAGATAAAAATTCAGAGAATAAATTTGTATTTTTAAATCTATTAAGTATTGATGTAACATATTTGACTCAAATTTGAGAAACCCTAATTTGGAGTGATTATTAATTTATAACGATAATAGATAACTGATCCATTGCATTCAAGCAAAAGCTATGAATCTCAATGAAAATAAAACAAGCTCCCATGGAAATTCAGGCATTGAAGAAAACATGACATCATAACTTTACAAATGATATCAAATCCAAGCTACAACCAAATTTAAAGCCAGCTTTGAGGCAACTAAATGAGTTCCAGACTACTTCAGCTATGCCATGGCTGATTATATGATCCAAACAAACTCCACTGGGATGGAAGAAATCAGGTCCTGTTTATGCAATCACTTCTTCTACCTTTTCTTCCTTCTTTCGATTTTTCTTTGAATGATTGTCGTTATTTTGTTGTTGTTCTGCCTTTTTTTGTGCTCGAATCATGGCTCGTCTTGCACGTGGACGCATCTCTCTTACATTACGAGGTGGCATGATATATGGCTCGAGTGGTCGGTCGCCAAATGGGTGTTCATCTCCAGCAAAAATTCTCAGTTTTCGATCTCTATCCTACATCCATGTAATGTAATAGAATAAATAAAGCTTCAAATATAAGATACCTGAACAATGACGAACTAATGGAATGCAGATTTTATCAAGAACTGAAGTTAATTCATTAGGTATCAGAAATTGTGAAACACTAAATGAATTTAAGAACCGACATCACGCAGTTTATTTCGTGGCAGCATGCGCAATACAGCTTTACGTATGACTTCGGTAGGGTCTTTGGCCATCTGATCTTTCAAACTTCTTTCCTTGACATGGCCGACATACCTACAAGCCACGCATAGTTCAAAACAAAACACGAAACACAGTGCATAACAAATTATTACCAAATCAACATTAAAATGATCCCCTTCCTCTACTTTTTGGCAGCTAGAAATTGAGCCATTTAGATTCAACCGGCAGCTCAAATTCACCAAAACAAATGTTGTTCTAATCTTTATGAAGATAAAGAACTAACAAACAAACTCATGATTTCATGTCCATGACCAACATAATAGAGTACTTACCCAGTATGCCAGTAATAAATTTTATCACTGGGCTTTCTTCCTGAGACATAGATATCCTTAGCATTAAGCACAATGCACATATCCCCATCATCCCGATTTGGTGCGTATGTTGGCTTATCCTTGCCTTGAATCACGGTAGATATTTGAGATGCCAATCTTCCAAGAACCTAGTAGAAAGAATTAGAATAGCTGTTTCTGTTTATGACAAATATCACTACCATTGGACATACTATCTCATAATCTGCAAAACCAAACGTGAAGTGATCAACATTGCATTCTAACCTGGCCTTTGGCGTCAAACACTCTCCACCTCAGACCTTCCAAATTGATGCGTTTTATTCCAGCAAGTGCTCTCTGGAACATTATTAGGGCATAACAATATTAATGCTTGTGTACCCATAAGTAACAGAAGTATTTATCCAAAGAACACCGAGCAGAGGCTATTATAAAAAAAAATTATTTCCTGGGTGATGAACTTTTGACCAAATAAAAAGTTTCTTTCTTTCCAATCAAATATACCACATAACATCAGGAAGCAAAAGTGCCAAAATAAACCCCCCCATATCCCAAAACAACTTTGTCAATCATGCAAACATGATCCTTCGATCATTGGAAAGTGTTTAGAAGTACATGAACACAATATATAATTTTAAGTCTTCACTTCTCCTTTTACACAATGTATGCATATAGCAACAACTCAAATTAACAAGTCCGTTGAATTTTGTATGCAGTATTTATGCCATCATGAATGATGATCATAAATTGAACTTCACTTACGCAAATGTTGTGAGTAAGATCACGGATGGAAAGCAGAGAATAGAGGAAGCAGTCTCTAAGAGGTTACACGTTTCTACAAGATCATCACCTCTTAGTAGAAATGAGTTTTGGGGTGAAAGAAGAAAACGTGGCAAGTCTTGATTTGAATGCTTTTGTTGACGACTTCACGTTTGAATCCCATGGTGGATGGAAGATATGGAAAAGGTTGTGATAAATCCGTTCATGGCTGATAAGGCTCTTTTGCAAATGTAGGATGACAGACTTTTAGGTGATCTTGGGACAGAAGGTAAATAGATAAATATATATCCACTTGAAAATAAGTTTGAATATTGGTCTTTCAAAAAGCTAAAATTTAGGGTGGGGTTACAGAGGAAAGATATTGAACTACCCTTGCAATACTGGAACAAAGACACCTTTGAAGCAATTGGGGTGTTTTTTGGTGGACTGATTGGAATCTATCCAAAACTCCTAATTTGATTGATTATGAAGCGGCATATATTGAAGTAAAGAAAAATTCATGTGGCTTCGTTCCAGTGATGATCAAAATTCAAGGCAAGGTAAGCGGCAACACTTCTCTTAATTTTGGGGACATTGTGGCTATTGATTCACCCTCAATTAAGCGGCAACACTTCTCTTAATTTTGGGGACATTGTGGCTATTGATTCACCCTCAATTTCGATTCCATTTTAAAGAAGTTTAGATC